AAAAAAAAAAAAAAAAAAAAAAAAAAAAAAAAAAAGTACCTGAGCGCACACCTGAGTAAAACTGTCCGTAGCTGTGGAATTACTGCTTCATACGCACCAATGCGGGCGTAGAAAAATCGTGGGTTTAAGATGGTTTCATCCTTTAGCATAAACCCCATGAATTGTCACCGTTTTATCTGACTGGAAATAAGCACCCTTGCTCTTGTTTTCATTATATCTCACTAGTTCACTCATAAAACCTTCATAAACTGATCAAGGTCTTTTATTTCTGAAGAGCAGATCCATAAATGTCACATTTTTGATTCAACAGTCTACACGCCACACACTGTACGGAAGCAGCTGACTTTCTACCCTGCAGTCACTAAGGCGACAATACAGCGCGAGATGAACGAAAGTCCGTGCAAGATAATGAGAATCTTCAATGGAAGACCGATGGGAGTTCAATCAAGTCCTTACTGTGCTTCTTTCCCAGCCTGGCATTATTTTTCTAGCATGGCACTAACAATAGCAGCATCATACCCTTGAAACTCCTGCCTAGGAATAATACCTTGATACAAACAATTTTGAGCCCCGAGGGGCAGGACTAAGAGGAAAAAGCAAATTCAGAAATGAAGAGAAAGAAAAATCAGAGGAATTGCCAAGTGCAGGTGCTGTGTTCCTATGTGCGTACATGGCAAGTCAGAGAAGAAAGTGTATGAATTCATTTTTTTAACTTTATATTTTTATAAGTAAAAAAAAAAAATCAAGAAAAAGCTGTATTACCTCAGAAAGGAGGTTGTTCATCTGTTCATCTTCAGTAGTGCTACATGACTTTATTATCTTGGAACTGTGCTGCCTTCCTGTCATCCTTATAGACCCTAATGACCCCTCAAAGCATATATTTAGCTGGAAACTTAATTAAAAAATGGGTATAAGAAGCTGGGTTAGGTAAGACCATCACATCCAATCTTCTTTTTCATGGAAACAAAGGCCACTCAGTACATTGAAAATGATGACAAGGAACAAAGAGATAAACTTTCATTCCCACAAAAAGCCAAATAAAACCTTCAGACCACAGAAGGTAAAGCATGACTTTCATCTAGGGTTCAGAATCTGCTTCTGTTTAAAAATATAGATTTGACTTAATGTTATGCATACACAGAATAAATCTCAACACATTCAATCTACCTCAGAAAGATAAGAGAATTCACAGTACTAGCACTCACCCTCAAAATTACCTGTAAGCACAAATTCTCCCAAAAATATAAAAAAACATATATCTATATAAAATCTCCTACATACATCTGGAAATAACTCCTTGAGCAAATGGAGACACATTTTCTATCCTTCTCACAACACCGTTTATAAAAAACTACAAATTTATCTGTGAAATATTTATAGTTTAACTAGCAACTGACTGAACTGCCCTGGACACTGAGATTTCCATTTTTCTTGATGTTCATGAGCTAAAAGATTTGCTTTTCTGAGAATTCACACAAAGCTCATCAAATCCTATATTCTGCCTCCTCTTTCACAAAACAGAAGCCTTTACTCCAACATCTTTTAGCATCCTTGTGTCTAAAATAGCCACAACTTCAGCACTTGGCTTTAGGCAAAAAAGATACTGTAATATTTCCTGAAATGAAACTCCAGATCTGCCAGACCATCCAGGTGTCCCAGAATCTAAAAATCCTCTCCAGTGCTCAAATCAACCTTTAGCCTGAAATAATCATTTCGTTCCTAACCAACTTCACCACTAGGAACAAACACAAGGAAACAAAGTTACGGCAAGATAAAAGATCAAAATAACATCAGGGTCTCTAGATCAAAACCAGTATGTTGGACTGAACTTGGAAATAAACCAAAAGCCTGCACAATTGATGGGAGCAGAGGCTTAAAAGTATCAAAGGAGCCAGTAGGTCTGTTTTGTGCTGACTGCAGACTCTGTACAAACTTCAAGGGAAATTCTATGTATCCCAGAAGGCAAAGGTGACTGAAATTCAGTTGGGATTAGCCTTCTCTCTCCTGCTCCAAATGGGCTTGCACACACAAAGTCAGGCAGATCTGCCTAAGAGAATTCGTGGTGGTGGAAAGAACTGAAAATTCGCAGTTAGAAAAATGACTGTTTCCTAGTGGTAGGAGCCCAGAACAATTGGCCTTATTCTAAGGACCTTAGGTATTTTTCACAGATAATGGCTATGAAGAACACTTTCATTACTTTCTGTATAACCCTCACAATTTCCTTGTTGAAACAAGGGCCACCTTTCCCAGGTGACCAGTTGCTTTTCTCCATCGCTCTGGCCCATCTCCTTAGACACTGAGGATAAGGAGAGATCAGAGGGTTTGAATCATTTAAGACTCTTATGCTAATAGACAAAAACAAAGCACAAAACTGAGGAAAATTATGTAAGGCAAATAATAGGTCTTGGCTAGTGAAAACAGATTTTGCTTTAAAGAGCAGCTTGCTTTTACTACTCCCATACAGGGGATAAATTAAATGGCTTCTTTCTCTCCACTAAAAGTAAGTAAGTGGCAGCTTTCAATTCAAATGTGAGATGGTAATTTTCTGGCTTAGAAAACGGTACTACTGCCAATCTCAAACCAAAGATGTTGTTGCAGAGCAGGCATTTCTGGTCGCTGCTCCGGAAACCACGGAGAAAATGCTAAAAATTACTACTGAAATTTGTAGTTGTATTAATTATAAATCAGCAGCGAATGCCAAAATTGTTTAAAACTAAAGTCAAGTTGATCAGGAAATAAGATGTATGGTGAAACAGCCTAAATCACTACTAATCCAGTACTCTTAGAAAGTCTGCAACATTTAATGACATCTAATCTTGAAGCATGCTCAAAGAGAAATGAAACCTAGCACAGCTCTCCTGGCACTCTCTAGAGGCCTTTGGAAGCTCATGTTTGAGAGATTCTGCATACTCCAGTCTTGACTCCCAGCCTGTCAAACCTGATTGCCTCTCCCCATCCCAATAAAAAAATCCTGACTTGTACACTTAGTCTAGTTTTACAAGTTTTTTTACAATATTACAGCAAGGTTACTTCAAGTTGTGGAGTAAGTTGTACTGGGGCTTGACGTCAACACTGAGAAGGAAAAGTCTTCTTCAAAAAAATACAGCAGCTATCTAAGCTAATTCAATATATTACATTTACATAATGTTGAAGTTTACTGAATTTTAATGCCCTGGGATTTGTAGCTCCTCTTTTGGCCAGGATGGTTTGACTCTGGCATGACACACACCTGCTAATGTACAGATTATTGTATTAAAATCCTACACCACTCTGCAAGATAACTCGTCACAAAACTACTGGGAATCATGCAGGCAGGAGGTGAACATCCCCTAATGTGATAGATTTTCATTGCAAGCACTGACATCCAAGCCACACTGTACTGCAAATTTGAAGATACCCTGAAGAATTCTTTCTGCATAAGTACCACCACAGAAATAAGATAAGCCTAATTTCAGAAAAAAATTATTTTCTCTTCGGCTTCATTGCGCAAGACTTTTTCCTTATCCAGTGGCCAAAGCTGAAATCTAGAAATGTTGGAATGAAAATTAGAAATCCCTCTAGGACAGTAATCCATCTGTAATTCGGAAGGGCCAGCATGGCATAACATTGTATATCTATCTATTTTAACCGCTGCCTTAATACATTCATGAAGAGAATATAAAAGGGGAAGGGAACCAATAAGGTGGTAGTTGTACCTGCCACTCTGTTCTTCTCTCCAGTACACAGAAAGAGCAGAGCAACGAGATCCAACAGTTAATAATGTCCGTGTGTTTACTCAGAGCAGGCAGTGAGGCGTTTTCCCAAAGGAAGTTTAATCTGATTTATTTTCTGTTTGGAACAATCCTAATTTCAGTAATTCTAGTTGAATAGATATAAATACATTTTTCTGCTCAGTTTGACAGAAAGAGAAATAGAAGTGTTGGAAAAGAAGCTTTCAAGACAAGTAAAAACAGACTGTACAGAAAAGGAGTTTATTGTCCAAACTGTTCAACTTTTGGCAGAACTGTCATAAGCCAACTGCAAACTTTAGTCTTCCAACGAACAACTGAATAGGATTAAGGAAGATTGTAAGCACCCATTAAATGGAATGAAGTAAAAAATGATGTTGTATTTCATTACTTCTATAATTTTCTTGTCTCTAAATTTTTCTTGAAGAAATTGCTCCTTAGATCAATTAGAGTGTCTAACTTCCCCTCCAAATAGGACAAATTATTTCACAGCAATGACTCTTAAGCAATTTAAACTGGGAGAACATTCTTTTTGAAGGGAAATCGATCTTTTTAACTACCTTTTAACCACTTTCTTACTATTACTTTATCAGGCTCTCTGGTACCAGTGTTTACAAAGAGACACAACTCTTGCTTCTGTGAAAAGTATCACATCATAAAGCCTGTTGCTCATTTTCTTAGTAGTAGAAGCAATGTAACATCTGTACTCTGAGGCCAAGGACAGGCCAATTACAGACACTCACTATGTGCACAAAATGGTAAGACGGTTGGTCTTCTCCTGCAAGATTTTCAGTCAATGGCATTCAGCATGACTGATGGGACAGGCTTCATATGCCAACACGTAACTTCATGAGTATATTCATGTACTTTGGCTGTGTGATGAGGGAGGAGCAAAGACATTCCTCAGAAAGAAACTAGCAATGAACAAGCCCCCATAATATATTCCACCTGTGTTGCCCATGTTTCTGAGGCTTTCCAGAAAGGTGACATGAATAGTTTTGGAAGTCTGTGTCTCCTTTTGTCATTCAGTCAGAGCCACGGGGATGTGAGCATTAAGGCCACTTGATGGATGCACATTCAGCCACATGATGGCAAGAGGTTACAGTGCCTCCAAGAAAGTAGCTGGGAACGAGATGTCGAAATAATTCAAAATACCAGAGGGGCAACAACTAGACAGGTCTCTGCAGAAAAGGATCCTGGCATCATTACAGATCATAAAATTAACATGAATCACTGATCCTGCCTGTTGCAAAAACTGCCAAAACCATAATGTCATACTGGGGTATAGAAAAAAAGAGTGCAGCCAACAAGACACCTTAGAATAATCCTCTCCTTGCAATGTCCACTCAGAAAACATCTAGTAATACTTAGTGTGTGTTTGGGCACCACATCTCAAGAAAGACTAGAGCGAATAACTGAAGTGAGCAGGG